GGCTGCCCTCCGTTCCGACCGTGCCGAAGAAGTCGCGTGCGTAATGCAAACGCGACTTCACGAGAAAGCCTTATCCTTTTTACTTTTTCTCCCCTTCTGTTTCTTTGAACATTCAGTATGTGATTCTTTTCATATAAAACGCTTGAACAAAAATTTAAGTAAATTGAAGTTAAGACAAAACGAATCTTCATTTTTATCAGATTTTAATTATTGATCAATTTGCATTGAAATAATAAATTGTAGTGATGCAAAAAAAAGTTAGGTAGGAAGAAAAATTTATGAGAAAATTCGACCATTTTCGAATTAAACGCATTTCACTTTTGCGACACCTTTTATAAAATGGAAAAATTGTAATATGAAGGAGAGAGAATATAGAGGACACGGCAAGGAAAATCTGTGTTTCGTAACAACCCGGAAGTAATCAATTCAAGCAATAATTTTTAATGCTTGATTCCGCGATATGGTATATAAACCCTGAACGCTTCTACAGTTCCGCGAATCAATTAAGGCGTAGAAATTCCTAACATAATTACATGCGCACCTAGAAATAATTTCCTGCTTGTATAATTCGTTAAGAGCACATAATTATTAACTAATTACAGGCATATTAATTATGGACAATTAAGTAAATTTTAAAGGTAACCGTATGTGACGGGTGCACAAGAAGCTACATCGAAACGTGCGTAAGTATGGTTGGCAATAATTAACTCGATGCCACTACATTAATGCAGTTCTTATCTCTAAATAAATTTTTATAAAAACATGTAAGTGGTCGTTCAAAATATTTTAAATATTTATCTCAAATAATTCAGTTAAGCTATTATTGTCAGACTAAAGACTCGATATACTTACTATTTTATTTATTTTTTCTTTACTTATTCTTGAATATTATCTTTGAATTCTTGATAATTTCATTACTAGAAGTTATTTTCGTATAATATGATCAAGCTGTATACGTGTGTATGTATATTATTTAGATCGCAAAAATCTATCTTTATAATTTCTGATTGGTTGAAAGTATTCGTTAGTGTGGGAACCACCAAAGAAAGCGGGAAACAAAATGTAATAACATATTAGAGCGACTTGTTGGAAGAATATGTTGCGTAGCTTACACGAGCGAAAATACAAATACATATATATGATAGTAATATGTAACGCACTTTGGAGTAATGTTACGTCAAACCCAGCGCCACCGAAAATATGAGCCGGCTGCCGAGCGCTTCGCTAATGCTCGGTCATTTATTATGCTTACATTATTTCGAGATTATTAGTCTTCTCCGCCTCTTCCCAAAAACTTTGTGTAATGTTTTGACTCGCGCATGGCCCCGCTAATATCACTGCAAATAAGCGCTATGCAAACACGCGATTTTATAATTCCGTTTGGATTTCTGCGACGGTAAGATTGACTATAGGGTATTTTTTAATATATGCTACAATTTTTTTAGATTATTTAGTAGAGATTTCATTTATCACGTTCTTAAATTTATCTTTGTTCCTTGCACACACGCATAAATTAAATTGTTTTAATTTGTTTGCACAAAAACTAACTTGTGTACACATACACACAATTTATGAAGATATTCCATAATGCAGTATTAAATAATTGTGGTCCTCTCAATGAAAAGATGATATCTTGCGCTTTCTAAAGTTCAACGGCTCGTAATTTATACCGGAACTTTTACAACAAAGCCCAAATGTTTTTAATGCTGATAACAAACAATAATCGAAACCGATAAGACCTCTCATGGGTTACAGGGTCGGACCAGGGGTCGAAGAGAATTTCGAGTGAAGTAGGGTGGCGAACGCCATAAGAAAGCTGGAAGCTTTCAATGCGGGAAGGGTAAGAAATTACATCAGAACGGCGAAATCGATTTAGCCAACCACCTTTTAAAAGGGGGGATTTAAAAGTAAATTCTTTTCTTCCATTGTTCCACCTTTTATTTGTTAACTTGTGACGAATCAAAATTGTCGATGTCGGGTAACAGAATGTAATCTATAGTCAGGGGACATTTTTTACCTTCATCAGGTATTTGAAAGTGCTCTATTTCTTACAGAGCAAATATAGATTTCACGGTATATTACTCACGTCGTTTTGATTGGATACTACTTCGCCTCGCCCCATGGATTTGGGTGACTACATTCATCTTGGGGTCACCTATGAAAATGACTATTACTGAAATATCTTTTCTAGCAAGAGAAATTGTAACTCACGGTGACCTTTGACGGTACTTTTGACGACTCTTATTGACAATCAGTTTTTTACTTAGTAATAATAATTTTCTTTTCTGATAAATTAATACGATCACGAACAAATTATAATTTCTTTTTACAAATCTTGCAAGTCTCAAAAGTAAATAAATATCTTGGATTTCTTCCAATAAAAGGGAGAAAAATGTAAAACAGATGAATGAATAAATTAAAATAGCTACTTCATATCTCAAAATTTAATCAAAATGTGTTCAAAAGGTTTTAAAGAAAAAAAAAAAATAAATTTCTAACCGTTCTTGTGGTAGATCGAAATGTCCGAGAACCGCCCGCGGGTGGGAAACACACGAGGAAATTCGCGTACCGAGGTAACCGTATGTGAAACGTGAATTAGACAGCTGTCAAAGTCCTCTGTAGGAGAAGATGGAGTACTCATATATGTGGTGCGCGAAAGGGCATCAGAGAGCTTACGGAAGAGAGGAAAGAGGGGTTTGGCAGCCGAGCGAATGGATTTGGATATAGAATGGAGGTAAGGTAATAGTAGAAGAGATGGACGAGGACGGCAAGATCGGTAGAGAGAAACGGAGGGCCGATGGAAAAGGGGACAAAAGGGTATAGAGGGGGTGAGCACTGATAAATACCTCGCCATTTCTCTTTGTGCTCCCCGGCGAGAGCACAAACACAAGGCGGCTCCCTCCGTTTCAACCCGAGAGTAGCTACCTAAACCTTACTCTCTTCTTATTCCACGTCTCTGTTCCTTATCCCTCCTCATCTCTCTTGTACTCTACTATACGCTTCCTTTTCCTCTATCATCGATTTTCTTCGTTGCTCCTTAAATATTTCACGATCGACCTTACCGGTTATTAAAGTGGCAACTAGCCGAATGCACAGGTGCTAACAAATCGATGAAATACCTTTCGCAATGTATTATATTATTATATTAGGTGTTGGAATTAATTCGTAGCGTTTTACAAGTGATGGGAAGTACTTTCATTAATGTATTTTTTAATGCTCATGTGAAATAAATAACATTCTTTCATTAAAAAACGCTACGAATTAATTCCAACACCTAATATATTATTATATATCAATGATATTTAAATATATAATTATATTATATATCTGTAATAATAAAAAAGAGAAACATTGCAGTAATATTTTTGATAAGTGTAACACTTTTGAAACGTACAATTCTGCACAATCACGTAACTTCTAAGGCGGAAATGAGAAATTTGATTTGAGATTTCTGATTCTATGATAAAGATAAATTTTTTTTTTAAGTATCTTTTTTATCTGTATGTATTCAAACGACGATGATCGGTAATTGATACTCTAAATTCGAAAATTAGAGTTGATCTAATTTCTTAACCAAAGTGAATCGCTTGTTTTCGGATGGTGAGGGATAAAACGATCGAGCAATTAAGGTAGCTCTTCTTTTGGAAGATTTTCTCCTCATTGTGGACTCGCACGAATGGCGGCCAATGCCCGATTTCTCTTCCAGGATTGGTTTTAAAATTAATGCTGTTTCTCCGTTTCGGCTCCTAATGGCTTCTGGGAGGAGCTCTGCGAGAACCAATCGCCTCCTGCAGTCAAACTGCCTTGAAGTGAAAGCACGACACCCACGAAACGATGTCGGTCGTGTGTAAGATTAGGCCTCGTTCAATCTTTCGCGGCTTTCCTTTCTTTTTCTTTTTTATTTAACCGATCATTGAATTATCTTCATTACAGGGACGATTCTCTCAAAGGAGCCTTTAATTAAGAATCCATAATCATGCTCGTTAATACGCTACACTAATTACACTAAAACTTTAAAGCAGAGATATCCATTTATTAGGATTTGCTGTAAGCAACCCTTTATGCATAGTGTTTCTAACAAATTTTCGGCGAACGCCCTTATAGACACAAATATGTGATGTCCAATCAAAAGATTTATTTGTACTTTACATATTAATCTTACGGGCAGAGTGACAGTCACACTCATTATCGCGGAGTCGAGAAAGTGCGCTTGAACGCATATTTTTAATCACTTCTCGAATCCGCATGGGATAACTGTTCCTCTCCATCCAGCAATGAATACTCTCCTCTCGCGTACACTCGGTCATTCCATTCCACGCGAATATCGATATCGTGCCGATTATTCATCTGCCACGCAACTTTGTATTCACCGCGGAGTCCCGTTACTGCGCACGTTGTTACAACCGATCTCACGACAAGAACCTTACGTCCTGACAAAGGCCATATCGTGGACGTACCTGGCGTTTAGTACGTACATAGAATCGTGGGCGTGCAGGATGTTGCGTAGGCCACCGAGGATTAAGCAGATTAAGACGTCAGGCGCCCGCGGTGTTTGATTAATGCACGGCATTCACAGGAACGAAAAGATTCCTCGCTCTTTGTACGTTGTTGCGGTGGAAGACGATGCGCCGGAAATTACGCTCGCCTTTTCTACCGTAGCGATGGCAAGTGCTAGGAATCGTCATCGTGACTCGCGTATTGGCATACCGTTCATTGTGGCGCTTCTTAATAAATTCACATTTTCCAATCCGTCAACTTTTTTTAATTAAAAGATAGGTAATTTTTTTAATGTAATATATCCATAAATGCACTATAATTTAAGGATGAATAAATCAAATTTTTACTCTATCATGAGATCAGACATTTATTTAATATCAAAATTTTGCAACCAGGCAATGAATAGTCGTTAATTGGACGGTATGTTAATGCAATAATAATAATAACAATAAAACATGAAAAGTAATGAGACTGCATAAATAATATGAGTATAAAGTGTGAGAAGTTATAATCAATGTAAATTTTTTTTTCGATAAAGAAATTTCAACCTTCAACGAGCGTTCCAGTTTTATATACTTGACAACTCACTTACTTTACTGCTTGTATATAATTATTGAAGGAATAATAAAAAACAAAGTTATAGGATTATTACCCGCTTATAGTTAGTTGCTGTAATGAGGCAATCATCTTCTTTCACCGAGACGAAATCACCTGTCAGCTAGTCGTCGACGGCAGCTGCATCTGGTTGATCCACGGACTGCTGTCTGCAAAATAAGAAGAGTGTTGTAATGACGATCTAAATAGTATACCAAGACTTTAACAAACAATTAATGCGTTGTTAAACAAACACAATCGACTTGATTATCATAAATCTATAAATTATATTTTCGGACAAGTGAGTTACAAAATAAAATTGATGTACAATTTATAATAGTGAGTCTAATAATAGAAATTATTTGCTCTTTTTTAATTTTGACATTTTAAAAGATTTCTGGAAAGCAGAAAAATTGCTCACTTGTCTAACTTTCGTCAGATTTTGAATCATCCAGGTAGGATTTGACGAGGGTTTTGTATTCTTTTGGGAAGTCGTAACCTCAAAGTGAGTAATTTTAAAGAAGTGAATACAATTGATCCCTATCTTTGTCTCTTGATTGACCGAAGGCCCATCTGAAAATTAAAATGTCTTGAAAATGGATCACTCGTTGTCAGTTTGAAAGTGGACTATTAATAGTTACAAGCGCTTCGACCTTCAGAAAAAGGATGAGCTTCGTGATGAATAGCGTTCAAGGAATGACAAGCCTACGTAAACGTAATATTTATATAGAAAAATATTTTCTTCTACCTGTCATTTAATTTCATAACTTATCTTAATAGAACATTAAAAAAAATTATATAGGTAATATGAAATTAAATAATACATCGTTGACATTAATAATCGTTGATAAAAATTATTTTGAAAAGGTATCGTAAAATATATTATAATAATTATTAGATAATTATACACTTTTTTGTTTAAGAATATATTTTACGTTAATCTAAAAAAAAAATACGATTCTCTAAAGTAAGTCTCAAATCACAAAAAGCATCTTTTCTTACAGGCTTATTTAAACGTAATTTCTGCGTAGATTCATCGCCTGAGGTGTGCGAAGAACATCCAATTGAAACGTCCAAGAGAGATGGATAGGTGTCACTCATATGAGATAGGTCTTACTGAGCCTAAAGTTGCCATTTTGAATTCCTCCGTGGTCAAACCCTGGGCCGAGTTTGAGGAATCGTAGGCGGAGATGAAGGCTTCACGCGGCGCGATGGAACGAGAACGAGAGATCGGAGCTCCTCGCTGGTAGGATGGATGCCGTCGTACGTTGGTACAGGCGCAGAGGAACCGTGTAGTACGCCGACCTGTACCCCGTACATGGATACACCCTATTCTGACTGGTGGATAAACGCGGTAAGAGAGAGGCGCGGCCCACGGTATCATTTATCATTGCGGGAGCTCATTAAGGCCGAATCTGCCGCACGCTGATCGTTTGGGATTACACTTTCCTTCTCGTATCCCTTCGGCATTTAACCCCCTACACAAACCCTGATCACTTTTTTCCTCCTTTCTTTTCTATTCGCTGTCTTCTTCGTAAATAGCGTGGTTTTGCTTAGCTTTCTATTGTCGAACGAAAACGTAGCATCCATGCATTGAAATCTCGCTATAGATAACGTGCTTGTATCGCAGCAAGAATGTCCCTTTTTCCCCGAATCCTATTATGGATTTAATATTCTTCTATGCGCAAAAAGTACGTCAAAAGTATTACAAATAAAAATAGATTATTTATAAAATTGGAAACATTTTTATATCGCACATCCAAAAGTAGTTTGCTTTATATTGCTTCTATATGGTTAAACATTTAATAGTATTGTTTTATTTATGTACAGTTAAGCGTTCCTTTTAGTTTAAAAGTGTACTTTCTAAAATTAAGAATTTCTTTCAATATGGAGCAATCGTAGAAATTTCTAAGTCTGGCAACTTTTACAGACGCCATTTACGCGCTCATCGTTCTTCATGCTGGACTTACATGCTGACCTCACTCGGTTTTTCCAAAGGCCTCCGGCGAAATCCGACGGATGGTGCATTAGCTCGCTCGGACCAGCCTAATGACGCCACCACATCCCCATAGGGAACCTTCGTTCGCTCGTGATTTCTTCCTCTCTTCTTTCTGTTACACCAGTTCGGCCACGAGCGATCCATCACCAAGTAAAAAAAGTCTCTTTATATCGTGCTAGTAGAGATGCCGCTTGCTTCTTTCTACGTTGTCATCTATTACCGGTACTTTCTTCAGCTTCTTTCTCGTATTCGAAACTCTACAACGCGCATTTTAGAACAAAATATTGCTTATAATTTGTATATATACTAGACGCAATCTAATGTGGGAATATAATTTCTTGTTTAGAATTTTATAGGAGTAAGGAAAAATATTATATATGAGAAAATATTATTTTTTATACATTACTTTCTTAATAACAATTAATAATACGTAAAATATATGTACAAAATTAATTAAAGTTGGCGGAAAAAAGTTGCGTTTATAAAATAAAAAATAAGAATAGGAAATCGCAGAACATTTCTCGTGTACAAAGCAAGTACATATGAAGTTATCAACATCTCCAAAGTTTCGTTCGAGCTTTTCTCGGTTAAGTTGTAGCTCGGGATATTCTATCGTTTTCCGGTTTTTGCAACGATACTCTCCTTACCGTGCCGGATAGCAGGCACTCGAAGTCCGTCCCTACTAGTGAGAAATGCCGCTAGTTTTATTTTGCCAGTTCCCTACGTTAGCGATTTTTCCATCACCGCGGCGAGATATTTCACCGACAATCTAAGAGTCGCAAATGGAGTCCACAATGAGGCAGAAATGGCTCGGTGCTCTGATGGCCCTCGCATTTGTCTTCACTCTGTTCCTTTCCCGTTCTCCTTCTTTCGATCTCCGAACACGCGCCTTTCACTCCCGCCTTCGCCTTTCTTACCACCCTTGGGAAAAAGCGCGATCGACTACTGCTGGAGTCACGATCGTTGCTCGACTAACCCCCATGCATTAAATTTCAGACGATCGTTCAGACATTAAAAAGCGCTTTTCTCGGAAGCGTGAGAATTACTCGAAATGGGCAAAGTCTTTATCGATATTAGGCGCTTCGTCGGTCTCACTAACATTACATGTGTCCATAAAAAGAGGAGATGACAATCCAGTCTGAGAGACAAAATAGACGCACGCAAGTCGCTCATGCTACCTTCGTAGCGACCATAGCAAGCAACGTTTCTGCAATTATAAGCCCATCAGCGGCAAACGAAGCTTCGTGTTTTTGTGACGGCTGGCACGGACTCGACTGGAAATAAGGCGGACAGGGAGGACGAAAGCATCGGAGATAACGCTCACGTATTTGTGGTGTGGTGTGTATATATATATATATATATATATATATATATATAGATAGATATATAGATGAGCACGTACACCGATCAGGCTGGCTACTCAAGAGGCACAACGACGCGGTAACGCGGACATTTCGTGCATCAAGGACGGTCTGATGCGATTTTAATCATGGACACCCCTCACGCTTTTTCTCCGCCCGCAACCGAGGGCCCCGACTGCCAACAACATTTCCAAGTCCAACCCCCTCGCCACGCCGGTGTAAAACCGATTAATTTCATTGCTCTACTCTACGTATAGTCCGGTATCAAAAGAACTCCTGAAAACCGAGTGACAATCCATACATTCATATTTCATGACTTTTTTGCTTATGGACGATCTCTCTGTTAATCTTTTATTATCCACAATTAGGAGCAAAGTCGTGACTTAATTAAAAGTAATGAACTCTCTTGCTTTCGTGTGTATCGATCGCTCGATCGTTATTTCGCCATTATTTGAAAATAGCTTATTTGCATACATGTCCCACATTATATCCCGATAAGAAAAATTTGTCGCGAAAGAGACTCTCTATATATTATAGCAGTTAATAACACATCGAATATTAATCTTTGGTCCAAAGCAACTGCTTCTAGATTTGTCTCGAGCACATTGATCGCGACAGTTGCACAACTACCATTGTTTGCGCGCGGCGGAAGAGTTCAGGAAGGACAAGCCGAGTGTCACCGGCGGCCTTAGAATACAGGCAGGCGACATAAATATGCATGTCTCCGCGGGCCCATGGCTCATGTGCCGGTGATCGTTATATCTCCATCTGACCGGAGACTGGAAGGGATGGAGAGGGTTAGTGGCGGTCCGGTAATACATTCAAAGTTGGACGTAGGGACTGCAGGGACAGAAAGGGGAACGTGGCGACTCTCCTCGGATAGTGTTGGAAAGAGGAGGAGATAGGAGAGTGGTGAAGTAGGTGGACATGGACAGAGGGGTGGCGAGGGGAAAGGCCGCGGGAGGCGGAGAGGGAGGTTTCTCGTGTTTCATTTCCTGAGCTCCTATATAACTTTGTGCTCAACTCGACACCAGATTAATAACGGCCCCACCTATCCTATTCTATCCCAACCCGAACAAGTTCGTGCTGTGTGTACACTCCGTGTGCTGTGCGCACGATGCCTGCTCGTATCACTTCTCTACTCTGCCTCTTTCTCTCTCGCTCTTTCTATCCCTCTCTCTTTCTCCTCATCTTGCACCCTCTCACATTCGCCCTCTCTGTTCCT